GAACGAAATGCAACAAACTTGGCATGACTTATCCCTGGTGAATACCCGACGGTCCACTCTGGTCATATTTTGACATCATCAAAGCCCCGCCCCCTCAGAACAAGAAGTCTGTCTTTTTACTTGGAATGCTCCCTCTTTGACACCCTTGACCTAATCAGGATGATCCTGTCTTAGAATACAGATAAGATGGTCTGACTTGATTTAAATTATGAACGGGTATAGCTGGAGGATGTGGGCGTGGCGAATTAAGAAGCGACACCCGTTGCAATACGTTTGGCTCTAAATTGCACAGATTTAAGCCGAGGTGTACCAAAATCACTATGATCGATCATTATCCACCCCTTGAACAGATGTCCATGATAAGTGGCCAATAGCCTCCACAGCGCCACCAACATTTTTCCTACAGTTATATCTCTGTGATACAACATCCGATCTGAACCAGATTTTGGGTGCTTCAATATTGAGCACTTATGGACACATTGGTATTGTTTTTTTAACTTTTGACTCTAGTGCGCCCCCTACATTATTCCAACAGTTACATCTCAATGATACATCATCTGATCATCAGATTTTTGGTGCGTCATCTGTGAACATTTCTAGACACATTGATATTGTTTTTACTTTTGACTCAAGTGCGCCCCCTACATTATTCAAACTGTTATATCTCAGTGATACAAAATCCGATCGGAACCAGATTTTTGGTGCATAATCGATGAGCACGTCCAAATATATTGATATTGTGGTTTAACATACGACTCAAGTGTGCCCCCTCTCATACTGATATGGGTGGAAGGCGATTGCAAAGTTTAGGCATATGCGCACCCTGGTGGACGCATCCGGGAATGGCGTGAGAGCATTGATGATGGCGACTGGGCGGAGTCGTTGGAGCTCCCGCGGTCTCCGTAAGGCCGGAGCTGCGCTTTGCTGCGAGGGCCTTCAATGCTGCTTGCAGCTTTAATTTATTGTTGTTTTTTGAACATCCAGAGGACCCAACAACCTCTTTTTTTAGAATATACAGTACACACATCTCCGTTGTGTGTGTACTGTGTATTGTTCTGTTGTTCGGTTTTATGCTGTTAATACAGTAAAAAAAAACTTCCTGTTTGTTTTAATGTAATTACGTTTTTTCAAATGTTATTCCGTTTTTTCTAATGTGATTCTGGCCACTTCCACTTTGGCTTAATGTAATTCTGTTTTTTCAGATGTTGTTCATTTACACCTTAGGGCCACCGTATGTTCCACCTGGAGAGAAGCAGGAACCAGGGGGAGAGCACATGGGTAGGGGCTGAGTATGGAGTGAGTGAGAGGAGGGGGCGGCATGTGGGAGAAGAAAGAACAGCAGAGCCGGCAGAGTTTCAAGTAGAACTATAGCGTTTATATCAAAATAATGTCAATTTATATAGCAAATAAAATTATGTTGATATTTTAAAAATATCAAGATATCGCCTAGCCCTAAGTACTAGGGGTGTAACGGTACACGTGGATGTATTGAACCGTTTTGGTACGGTATGTTTAATTCGGTCCACGTGCGTACCGTTTCAGTTATTTTCACTCATTAAATTTTATTAACGAGAGATTATGCGCCGCGGAACTAAAGTTCCTAAGCGTGTTTCAGCACAGCGCTATTATCTTGCAGCAGGCGCAGCATTAGCAGCCTAGCATCTCGTTGCGGTCTCCTGTTGGGGAACATTATGGCTTTCTTGTTAAAAGACAAGTGAACAAATCCTAAGCTGTGTGTCGACATTGTTTCATGAAGATTGGCTCTGCAGCAGGCAACATGTCTAACTTAACACTCTTGAAACGACATCATCCGAACGTGAACATCTCTTCTAACAGCTTGGTGCAAACACCGATAACAGCAGCATTTAAACAACCTTTATCAGGTAATTCAGCTCGGACCAGAGCAATAACACAAGCTGTAGGAGTTTTTAAAGCTCCGGATCTACGTTTCTGTTGTTGATGCGCAGGCTTTAAAGTTATTGAACCCCGCTATGACATCCCATCACGTCAACACTTCAGCCAAACAGTTGTAGCAGCACTTAATGAAAAAGCTAAAACTGATATTGTCAATAAGCCCTGGAGCCCAGATTTAAAGCCCTGCCCTGATGATGAACGAGAGAGTCAACCACCTCATAACAAACGATGACTGTTCAAGAAGAGGTATTGTTATTTTATTATTATCTAATTAACTTTTTTAATTTTAAATTATAATCTTAATTCATATTTTACCTCTTTGTGTTTTATTTTCAGTCTGGGACAGACATAGCAGCTGAGTTTTCTTCCTCTTCAGGGAAATCCACCAGAGATCACCTCCAGCTAAGAAGTTTTTTTCAGGTCTCTGTAAATGAGTCCGCGAGGCTCAATGGGATTTACTTGTCTAAATAAAGGTTGAATGAAAAGTCTGTGATGCGTGAACTCTGAACTTTTCCAGGGACATGTCCCACCTGTGGGAGCAGGTCAGAGAGTCAGAGATTCTTTATTGTCATTTGCACCTCATGTGGTACATGTGGTGGAGCAAAATTATGTACACGGGGTCCCAGTTACATCCAACAATAACATGTATAAGAAAAACAATGATGTATTAAAGTCATGAGAAACAACTGAACCAAATAAAAGTTCCTTAAAAGCTCCATAAAGTATAAAAACATTTAGATATCCATCAGGGATCTTCATCTAGTCTAAACAACATTTTTAATCACTAAGCATTATAAGCTGTGGTGTGCTGAAATACCTGCAGGTTAGTAAATATATCCAAGTGTGGAATGACTAAGAACAAAAATGTAAACAAAATAAACTAATTTAAGCTACAGTCTACGAGTCGTATGACCCCTTCAGCTACAAAAGAACAAAGTATTTTTTTCAGTATTGTTTGGTGGCTACTTTATGTAAACATAACTTTGTACCAATAAATGCATAAAAAAATGACACCTGCTAGAAAAACATCAACTAAATATACACTAAGCACTAATAGCATAAAAACACATTGAACATCAGCACAAACATGAACTTGAGTCTGTGTAAGCAGATGAGCACGCATGAACACAAAAACGTTGAAACAGATCAGCAGCAACATGATGTGATTTTTTTCACAATGATTATTCTGGTTAGAGATTCATGTGTCTATAACAGCCTCAGGGTAGAAGCTGTTCCTCAGTCTAGTAGTCTATTCTTCCTGTCTACAGCCATCAGTATCTATAACATCTCAATGAAATGAGGATAACGAGTTACAACAACAAATAATTTCCCTTTGGGATTAATAAAGTATTTTTCAATTGAATTGAAATATTTATTTTTATACAAATGTATTGTTTACTTGGCATATTTTCAAAATAAACATTTTTAAAGTCTTTATTTTGGCCTTTTTTTTTGTACCGAAAATGAACCCGAGCCCTCCTTGAAACTGAACCAAACTGAAATGTGATTTTAATGTACCGTTACACCCTACCTGTATAAATAAAGGGTAAATGGGGTAGGGGGATGAGGGATATTGGTCCAGGGAGTTGACCCGGTGACCTTCTGATCACAGGCCCACCTTCTCTAACCTCTGCGCCACCACTCTCCCATCACGTATATACAGTGTATTATCTGTAAATTGAAGCTTCTTGAGATGGGGATAAATGCCCCCCATGCTTGTAATTTAAATCTAAAATTAAGACAAGGTCTACCTCAGGGACGCTTCAGTTTCACATCCGTCATTCATTTTCAACTTTGTTTTGCTCCCAAAATGTGAAGGTGTTGGAAAAATCCCAAAAGTTTTTAAATAGTTCATGTATTATAATTTTATGATTAATAATTTTCTTTTTGATATGCAAACACTGAATAGTCATCTTGTTTCTTAAATAAGGTTGAGAGCCAGTCAGAAATGTTTGTGCTCTGGCTGTCCAATCACAAGCTGATATGTGAAAATATTGTGCTTATGTTTTGACCAAGGGCGTCAGAAGCATCCGTAATGTGGGGGGGACACAATGTGTGTAGGTGTGCGTGCGTGCACGCACGTGTGTGCGCGCGTAAAAAAAAGGTGTTCACTAGTGTACAAAAAAAGCAACATTTCAACTAGATTTCCTTTAATTCCACACATCTAAAGCATGTTTCTCAGCACGTTTGTGTAAATTCAGCTGTGGGTTTTAAAGACATTTTAACTTTAATACACTTTAATATACAGCATCAGATCGGCACTATTTGCGTTTAAAATAAATAAAAAATATCACAACTGGACTTTTTTACTTGTGTTCAATACTACTCATCTAAATGATGTTTCTCATGAAGCTTGAGGACGATAAGGTGTGGGGTTTTAAAGCCATTTCAACTTTAATACACCTGAACACACAGCGTCTCTTACACCTGCAGCGTCTTACAACGTCACAGTTACTGCTAAGCTAAGATGCTACAGACGTAGCTCCTCTCAAGCATCCTCCTAACATGAATATATGCTTATGATCAACCCCCTGGTCAACAACTGCCCACACTAAGCATACTAAACTGGTGAGCGAATAACACAGAGGTGTCTCCATCTCCTCCACCTGTGCGCTTTTTATGCCGAGGCAGGAGGAGACGCACAGAAACACTGCAGGTGTTGCACAATATTCTGTGACCACCGTATATTGTGACCTTGGCAACAGGCTGCTGTGTTTAGAGTTGGAAGTAACCAGGAAAACCTGGAGTGGAGTTTTAGTGGCCTGAGTATTCTCCTATTAATCAAGTGGAATGGATTTGTTCACGAAGAAAGAGAAACTGCGCAGACTGAACTAATGCTTTATAGTAGAAGTGGGGGCGTCCAAATGAACATTTTTTTTAATGTGGGGGAGACTTGTCCCCTTCACATATAATGGTTGCGACGCCTATGGTTATGACCCCAATCATTTTTCATATTTCTTCTGATAAATGAGATGCATTAGAATTGGCAACCTTTCTGAAAGTAATTTTAACTGGTTATCAACTGTCTTGTGGTGAGAAGTGTGTAGCCCATGTGCGCCGCTAAATAAACCTCTGACTTTGTCCAGGTGAACGACCATTTGTCTGTGACTCTGGAGGCTGTGGCTGGTCTTTTACCAGTATGTCCAAATTACTCCGTCATAAACGGTAAGGTTCTCTTTTAAGTTTTTCTACTCTGTCCAAAACTAAACAAATACCAGCATGTTTGTCAAGTGATTGGATAAATGAATCTGTCAGGAAACATGAAGACGACCGTCGCTTTGTCTGCACTGAGGAGGGATGTGGGAAGTCCTTCACCAGGGCTGAGCATCTGAAGGGGCACAGTATCACTCATCTGGGCACCAAGCCTTTTCAGTGCCATGCTGAAGGTACACGAAACAACTTGTTCAGTTGTAAGGTGTTTTTTGTGATCTGAACATGTGCTGTCCTCTTTTCTCAGGTTGTAATGCACGGTTTTCAGCACGCAGCAGCTTGTACATTCATTCCAAGAAGCATAAACAAGATGCCAGCACCCTGAGGACCCGCTGCCCTGTAGCCAGCTGCTCCAAACACTTCTCTTCCCGCAGCAGCCTGAAGAGCCACATGCTCAAACAGCACCACCTCAGTCCTGGTTAGAGACCAGCAGGGTTCTTCCTTTGTTCACCTTATTGTTCAGTAAATCCATTAACACAGTGGAGCTCTGATGAAACCCGTCTTCATTTGGTTTTAACATATTTACTGGAATATAACTGGCTTTTGTACACTATTAAGAGTGAATTCCATTTAATTTGTCTGGTTCTGTGATTTGGCTGCATTTTTATTTATTTTTTTGCATAGACAAACTGCTGGGGCCTGACTTCTTCATGTGTTAAACTGCTGCCATTTCTATCTGACCGAGGCTAAAAAAAAAACAATGAACTCACTCTTGTTGAGCAGCTATTTAAGTATTACTAGTATTAGTATTAGTATTAGATCTAGACATCAAACTGGAGCATGTTAGTGGTTGTTAGTCTTTTTGAGCATTTTTTTAGCTGAAATTGGGATTAAACTGGCCTAAAAGTGAACATTCTGGTAAACAATGATTTGCATTGTTGAACAGTAAGAACATGAAAAGTCCAAACTGCAGTGTACTGCTAGTCTTACCCATTTGAGAACACATTCAGTATTATATACCTGTACTGGTCTGTGGGTAACCTTTGACCTTTTCCTTTGCAGATGTTTTATACCAAATGGAAACCACCCCAGCCCTGACTCCCAGCAGTGAGCTTGTCAGCTCTACTCCAGCCTCAGTTGGTGGCACTGGTGTTGCCGTGGGTGACCAGCTGACCAACTTGGACCTCAGCTCTTTATTGTCTGTTCCTGGAGGAAAACCACACTCTGCTGGCCTTGGAGTGGGAATCCCAGTGACTGGAAGCAGCTCTAACGGCTTCACAATGGACTTGTCTCTGGTCAACTCAGGCATTCTCACCATTGACCCTTCCTCTGTGGGCACCACACTTGTTACCAGCACCAGCACAACGTTGGCCAAGGCTTTGGATCCACTTATGACAGCCAACGCTGACATCATCCATCAACATGGTCTGGAAAAAACAGTGGGTGAAGTTCTAACCCCACAGGGCTCTTTGAACTTGGATGATGTGCAGACAGTTACCCCAGAGACCCTAGGAACTCTCACAGCTCTAACAATACAGGGTGTGAGTGCCTCTGTGGATCCTAGTTTGCAGCACTCCCTCAGTTCTTCTAATTGCCTGAACCTAGAAACCTCAGCCTCCTTAGCTGTGGCCCCGGTCCCTGAGCTGCTGGTCTCACCCTCTAAGGTGATGGAGGTGGGTGTCCAGGGAGGTGTCGGGCCTCTGCTGGGGTGTGTAGAGGTGCTGGCTCCTCAGGAGGGAGGAAAGGTCCTCACTCAGTTTGTTTTTCCAAGTCACAGCAGTAGTTTCAGACCACAGAAGGACCCAGAACTTCCTGTGTCACCAAGCAGTTTCCTGGTGAGATACCACACTTTTCCACTTCCTAACCTTTACATGGTCTGCTGGTTGTGCTGTGAAGAAATGTTTACATTTGTACAGTCAGTGTGTATTTATAGTCACTCAGAGTGTTTTATACCACACTGAATTACAAGACTTGGGATTTGTGGGAAAAAAAAAAACCTCGATAAAAATTTTTTTTAAGATCAACTTCTCACGTCAACACTAATTTTCAGTAGCAAGAAGCAACGCTCCTAGGTCGGCCAAACCTTTAGCTCTAAATAACACCCCTAATTTATTCTCAAAAGGTTGCTGCTGCTTAATTTCCTGTTAGCCAGCTGCTGCACCTAACATGGTACAGTCTCTGTCGTACGTACATCAGTAAACTTTGTCTTGTCCCACCCATACCTCTGATCCGCTCAAGTTAATTTAACAAAACTTCATACACCCATCCATCATCACTTCTCTTCATCACTTCAAGGTCAACGTTAAAACAAGGTCTGCTCGTCCGAGACAGAACTTTGATCCGCTCAAGATCATTTCATGAAATTGATACATACAGTTCCTTCTAAAAAAATTAGCATATTGTGATAAAGGTCATTATTTTCCATAATGTAATGATAAAAATGAAACTTTCATATATTTCAGATTCATTGCACACCAACTGAAATATTTCAGGTCTTTAATGGTTTTAATACTGATGATTATGGCGTACAGCTCATGAAAACCCAAAATGCCTGTCCCAAAAAAATAGCATATCATGAAAAGGTTCTATAAACAAGCTATTAACCTAACCACCTGAATCAACAATGTAACTCTAAACACCTGCAAAAGATTTCTAAGGCTTTTAAAAACTCCCAGCCTTGTTCATTACTGAAAACCGCAATCATGGGTAAGACTGCTGACCTGACTGCTGTCCAGAAGGCCATCACTGACACCCTCAAGCAAGAGGGTAAGACACAGAAAGAAATTGCTGAACGAATAGGCTGTTCCCAGAGTGCTGTATCAAGGCACCTCAGTGGGAAGTCTGTGGGAAGGGAAAAGTGTGGCAGAAAATGCTGCACAACGAGAAGAGGTGACCGGACCCTGAGGAGGATTTTGGAGAAGGGCCGATTCCAGACCTTGGGGGACCTGCGGAAGCAGTGGACTGAGTCTGGAGTAGAAACATCCAGAGCCACCATGCACAGGCGTGTGCTGGAAATGGGCTACAGGTGCCGCATTCCCCAGGTCAAGCCACTTTTGAACCAGAAACAGCGGCAGAAGCGTCTGACCTGGGGAAGCAGCACTGGACTGTTGCTCAGTGGTCCAAAGTACTTTTTTCGGATGAAATCAAATTTTGCATGTCATTCGGAAATCAAGGTGCCAGAGTCTGGAGGAAGACTGGGGAGAAGGAAATGCCAAAATGCCAGAAGTCCAGTGTGAATCACCCACAGTCAGTGATGGTCTGGGGTGCCATGTCAGCTGCTAGTGTTGGTCCTCTGTGTTTTATCAAGGGTAGGGTCAATGCAGCTAGCTATCAGGAGATTTTGGAGAACGTCATGCTTCCATCTGCGGAAAAGCTTTATGGAGATGAAGATTTAATTTTTCAGCATGACCTGGCACCTGCTCACAGTGCCATAACCACTGGTAAATGGTTTACTGGCCATGGTATTACTGTGCTCAATTGGCCTGCCAACTCTCCTGACCTGAACCCCATAGAGAACCTGTGGGATATTGTGAAGAGAAAGTTGAGAGATGCAAGACCCAACACTCTGGATGAGCTTAAGGCCGCTATCGAAGCATCCTGGGCCTCCATAACACCTCAGCAGTGCCACAGGCTGATTGCCTCCGTGCCACGCCACATTGAAGCAGTCATTCATGCAAAAGGATTCCTGACCAAGTATTGAGTGCATAACTGAACATGATTATTTGAAGATTGGCGTTTTTTGTATTAAAAACACGTCTTTCATTGGTGGGATGAAATATGCTAATTTTTTGGGACAGGCATTTTGGGTTTTCATGAGCTGTATGCCATAATCATCAGTATTAAAACAATTAAAGACCTGAAATATTTCAGTTGGTGTGCAATGAATCTGAAATATATGAAAGTTTCATTTTTATCATTACATTATGGAAAATAATGACCTTTATCACAATATGCTATTTTTTTGAGAAGGACCTGTATGCACGTCACTACCGTGACCCGAAAAGGAAGAAGAGGGTAAAGATGAAGGATAGATGCACGTCACTGTGTCACATACACTTTTAATTGCCCTAGCTTCAAGGGCAAGATCACAAATCAAGGTCAAGTGTTGTTAAGGTCTTTGCTTGTCTTGACCATAACGTCTGATCCACTCAAGATAATTTAACAGAACTTGGTTTACATTTGTACCACCACTAGACTGTGTGTCCTGCAACCTGTCATGGCTCCAGCTCAAAGGGACGGTCCTTTGCCAATTCCCCCACCATGGAAAACAAACAAATGTTTTTGTCTCTGAGGATGTGGTTCCTGAATCAGCGGTCTCCCAGATTACCCACCCCCAAAATTATGCTTGGGTTTAATGAGCACACTCCGATTTCAAATTTCTGGTGAACACACCCTGTTGGACTGATTATTCTTCATAGTGGAGTATAAATGACCATTTATTGATTACTCTCTGAGCACTGATTTAAATTCTGTCCTTTTTGAGTTGTCTTGATGAGTTGTGCTTTCCCTGCTCGTTTCTCTGTCCAAATATTATCAGAGCATCACATGGGGCTCCGTTTAATGGTCCAGGTTTGTGATGAGCTGGTCAGAAAGTTCACCACAGACAAGCTGCTGCCGCTCTGCTCATGAGTCGAGGTTTTACTGTGGAGAAAACTAAGCTGCATGGTCTGTCTGTAGGATGTTTACAAGTAAAGTCAGAGAAAAAAACAAAAAGATCAAGAAGCTGTTATTTGTAAACATTTTCTACAAAAACCTTATCAGCTGTTCATCATGTGAGTTGATCGTAGGTTTGAGCTGTAAGTCATTGACACCCACCAGGCAGAAAGTTGCAGCTCACTTTGTTCCTTTTTGTTTCCAACCTGTTTGTGATGAAACTCAGTGGGTTCGGATATAAATGGTAAATGAACTGTATATGACGCCTTTCTATCTAATCCAGCGCTTTACACTACAATCTGTGCCCTCATTTACCCATTCATTCAGCACTCTACTAGATCTCTACAAAGCTAATTGAACAAATCATTCTAAAGAGACTAATCAGAGCTTTAGATCACATTCATTCACCGATGGGACACACATCGGAGGCGATGAGGGGTTCAGTGTCTTGCCCGTGGACACTTCGGCATGTGACTGCTTGTGGATTTGAACCCCCAACTCTTGCATTGGAGGATGACTGCTCTAACCACTCAGCCACAGCTGCCCCAAGCCGCTGCTTGTTTGGAAAACTATGAGGCAGAATTTACTGATTCAGAGAATCACTGTTCTGTTAGCTATGCTAACAAGACTAATGATGCTAATACCTGTGAAGCTGCTCAGAGCTTAGTTGTTAATTGTTTGGGCCTGTCACATCGTGAAGTTTTAGACAACTTACACAGACGTATGAAAACTAAAGGTGCACCTATTGCAGCTTTCTGGCCGATCATTAGCTATGTTTACATGTGCAGAATTCTTTGACCGGATTGAAATGTGTTCTGTTTGAATAATTCAAATGTATTGTTTACATGGGCACAATCTGTTCATGACGAGCGTTTACATGCAGCGGGCATTGTTCTGAACAACAGTACTGACATGCGCAGAGTGGTAAACTCTCCTTAAAAAAAATCCACCGAAGAAGAAGTTCTACTTCCGGGGTGAACGTAAACAAACCTGAGCACCCAAAATGGACCCGCGACAGTTTTTAATGATGGTAGAGACGTTACTGCACTCCCTGACTGAGCATACAGATCATTTTGAGCTCTTTCAAAGTTTCTAGTAGAAATGTTGTGTCGCTCACCGACCAGTTTTGCTCCCCTGACATGCTAATATTATTAGCATTAGCCAGGCGGAAATGGCAAAGTCGCACATGCGCAGTCAGGTCAGTTTTTCACGATCAGATAAAAACGAACAGATCAAGCGTTTACATGCACACCGATCGGGTTACGGATCGGCGTAAACCACCCGTTTCGTTCTGATCACAAATTATATCGGATCACACCGAATACACAAAAAAAAACCCTAATGGAGTGTTTACATGACACACTTTTATTCCGACCGCCCATTTGATCCGGTTACTTATGTCCATGTAAACGTACCTAATGATCTCTAAAAAGTCTGACCTACCGATTCAGATTTTGGCCGATATCGATTTTGTTTTATAAGCGACACTGTCAGGTGTCATGAGGTCACAATGCACCTTCTGTTTTCTAATCTTATTTTATTTTTCATTCATTCAACCTTTATTTAAACAGGTTAGTCCCATTGAGCCACGAGGACTCATTTACAAGAGAGATGTGGAAATTATTGAAAAACATATCCTTGAACAATATCCTAGAAACAATACAAACTTGTTTTATCTGGCCATGAGGTGGTGCTCTGAAATATAAAAGAAGTTTAAACAATTGTTGTTAAAACAACAAAAAAAATTGGTTTCTCGTGCAAGTATCGGCCGATCTCCGATTTCCAAAAATTAAGGAAATTGGGGCCGATGTGTCGGTGCACCCCTAATGAAAACTGTGTCCAACATGCTGACATACCCTCAAGACTTTTGGACATATACATTCAGTACTTGAAGTCATTGGAAAGATTGAGTGAATTTAATAGCACCATCAAACTGTGTGGTGATAATAATAAAACTAATTGTAACTAATGTTGTGCTGTAGGGAAGTGGAGGCTCAGCCAGGACTGACTACAGAGCTATCCAGCTAGTAAAGAAGAAGAAGCAGACGGGTACCTCAGCTACATCTGGTGAGAAAAATTCACCACTTTGATTTGGATGAAACTAATTAATACATTTACTGTCAGATGATGATGATTGGTTTTTTTTCCAGTGTGCCAGAGAAAGCCTAAAGGATCCAAAGTGACTACAGCAGCAGTACCCCTTCCCTGCTCTGGTTCTCAATACAGTGACGGGGCTGAAGCAGCCGGCGGGGGCTTGGCTTGGCGGGATCCTGTCACCGGGGCTCAGTATGTCCAAATTCAGCTGCTGCAGGTCAGATCACTCTGCATATGTTTAGTGTTTTTAGTCTGAGGGTTAAAACCAGTTCAAAAGCTTTCCATGTGAATCTAGAATCTGGAGCGGCTGTGGCTGAGTGGTTAGAGCAGTCGTCCTCCAATGAGAGAGTTGGGGGTTCAAATCCACCAGCAGTCACATGCTGAAGTGTCCCTGGGCAAGACACTGAACCCCTCTGATGTGTGTCCCATCAGTGTATGAATGTGATCTAAAGCACTGATTAGTCTCATTAGAATTATTTGTTCAATTAGCTTTGTAGAGATCTAGTAGAGTGCTGTATGAATGGGTAAATAAAGCACAAATTGTAGTGTAAAGTGTTTTGAGTATCTTGAAATAAGATAGAAAGGCCCTATACAAGTACAGTCCATTTACCATTTAAAAGGGTTAAATCTGGTCCTCTGGACATTCAAAAAAAAAAAAAAAAATTGTAGAAACGTTTCGTCTGTTCTCAAAAAAGACTTCCTCAGTCTGTATTCAGCTCAGTCTTATAAATACCACCCTCTCGCAGTGGATCAACCAGTTTGGTGCTGACAGCCAAAACCAGCTGCTCACATAATCGAGGAGGACCATCAGCCTAACGATGGATCATTAGCACCCTGATGGCTGTTTGCTATTCACAGGGGGCTGAGTGATACTAGCAATAACAGCATTGTAAGAGGGGGACAGTTGAACACGGAGGCCTCCAACCCTGTTTAATGATGGACGGTTTCTTTTCACAAAGATGGCCTCCTTTACTCCTCTCTCAAACCATCATTCCTCTCTATCAAGGATGTGAACATCTTGATCTCTGAAAGAGTGACCGCTGGCCTGGAGATGAGTGTAGACCGCAGTGTCCTGGCCTGATGATGTTGATCTTGTGTGCTGGGCCATCCTTTTGGCCAGTGGCTGTTTAGTTCCCCCCGATGTAAGACTGAACACAGCCCTCCTGACACTGAACAGCATACACAATATTACTCTGTTTGTGCCGGGGGACTGGATCTTTGGGATGAACCAGTCTTTGCCGTAATGTATTTTGGGGTTTAGAAGCCACTGGGACTTCATGTTTAGAAAATAAACGTCTCAGTTTCTCTGATACTTCCACAACATACGGAATGACCACAGGTCTGGGTGTTCCTCCTTTTCACCTGATGGCTGGCTGGAGTCCTGTTTGGGTTTCTTCTCTGCTTTCAGCAATGCCCAGTTAGGATATCCACATTGCTCTAGAGCCTGTCTTGTGTAGGATTTCTCCTTCTGCCTGGCTCCTGAGTTAGTGGGGACACTGTCTGCTCTGTGGTACAGAGTCCTGATAAATCGTTATAATAGCTGTTTATGTTTTTAATATAATTTTCAAATCATATATTTTTTATGATTGTTTACTGTTGTACTGATAAATAGCTCCTGGAGGGTAAACTATATCTTGACTGCAAGTATCAAGCTGTGCAATCTTTCGTTTTCTACAACTGATAGTGGTTGGTCATGAATCATGATGAAGTTTAGCAACTTCTCGGTAAAAATTTGAGCTCCGTGGTTTCAGCGATGTCTTCTTCTTGTTCAATCCGAAGCAAGCAGCCTGATTTGGGACAGCCGCGCTCAGTCTGTTCCTCCTCAGAGACGAGCAGACTGAGCGGGTCAGATTGGACGCGGCTGGCCGGGGTTGAGTCGCCTCTTTCTGGTTGAGCAAAGAGCACCGCCCACGGAGCTCGAATGTCCAATGTAAAACTAACTTTACCGCAGTTTAATGTGGCGCTATTAGGGCTGGGTACCTTTCTAAAAAAATTGGTACCGGTGTCTGTGTCGGTACCTTCACTTCGGTGTCGTTTCCAGGACGGTTCTTTTTTCGGTACCAATTTTGTAATTACTATTAATTCTAACAAGAATTTTTCATTCATTCAACCTTTATTTAAACAGATAAATCACATTGAACCTCGAAGACTCATTTACAAGTGAGACCTGTTTGGACAGACAAAAAACAGTGGTTAACAGGACACATGTAGGAATTGGAGGTGAAAAAAATTCCTATCAGACTTTTTTCTTGGCTGAGAAAAACCCCTAATATTGAAAAAAACACTTCGCACAAACAAGCACATATTTACTAGACATTCTGCAGAGCAGAGCAGGAAGAAGGAAGAGACGAGAATAAAATTATGTTACACATTACAGTACAAATTGTGAGTTTTATTTTTTAACTTTGGTATTTTTCCATTCCAAGCAGTTTTCTTACATAAAAACAAACAAATAATTTCCAGGTCAAAAGACCAGTTATAAACCAGTGACACGTCAGTGTCTAATGTAGAGGATGACATTTTTTCGGGAGTACTGCCGGTCACGTGAATCCGGCCGGATTCCGGCGGGACCGGAGTCAACTTTATTATAACTCCCGTTATCGGGACCGGACAGGACAAAAACTTAACGGGAGCAGACGGGAGCGGGAGCCAACATAGGACAAAAAAAGAAATAGGCAAAAAATAATAATAATAATAAATTTCAGACAGGCGGCTGCGCCAACAGCTTCCGGCGCCTTTTCCAGCAGCTACTTCCGGCCGCCTTTTCCAACCTTTGTTTACTGTATCAACCAACATCATGGAGGGAGCATACGCCAGCGGAGAAACCGAGAGGGTAAAAAATATTTTGCAACGCAAAGTTAGGAATAATGACGCATCTGTTAGGTTAACAGAACTGTCAGGGAAGGCGCTAATAGTTCAGAACTTTATGAGAGTCGAGTGTGACGGTGTGAAGACGCTCTACGCTGCTTGCAAAACATGCTCAGTTATAATAAAGTACGCCACTGACTCGGGGACGAGCGGTCTGAAGAGGCACACTTGCAAGGCTAATTTCGGAACGAATCAGCCAAGCATTTCTTCATTCATTAAACGAAAAGTACCGTCAGGAGTCAAGTCTCGTATGACCAACAAAATAGCCCGCATGTGCGGCGTAGATTTGAGACCATTTGCTGTAGTAGATGGGAAAGGTTTCATCGACGTCATACAGGAGGCAATCGACATTGGAGCAAAGTATGGAAACAACGCTGAGGCACAAGACATACTGCCATGTGGACGCACGGTCTCTCGTCATGTTCAAGGAGAATACGATAAAATTTAAAAAATGGTCATGGAAGAGCTCCATCAGGTATGTCTGTCACGCTGCTCTATTTTATAATACAGTACAAACATTTTACCTTGACATCATGCAGTAGTCTAATTATAGATTTCCTAACACTAAATCTGTTTTTTCTCCTCCTTTTAAACTGCTTAATCTCTCAACTATAAATTAGTCATCTGTTTTACATGTAATATACTTTGAGAGCTAATAACAATATACGTAATTCCTTTGGTGCAGACTAGAGACCATGCAATCACGACAGACCTTTGGACAGAGGAAAGGACAAACACACACTACATCACCGTTACAGTCCATTACATCTTGGATGGGAAGATGGTGAACCGTATTCTGGCCACAAGGGAGATGGAGGGTGTCAAATCTAATGAACACATCAGAGGGACTGTGGAGAAAATCCTTCAGGTATCTCACACTCAAATGAGATAATTATCTTTATTTACATGGCATATTAGCTTTGTAGAGGTCTAGTACAGAGCTGTATGAATGGGTAAATGAGGCACAGATTGTAGTGGAAAGCGCTTTGAGTGTCTTGAAATAAGACAAAGGCGCTATATAAGTACAGTCCATATGCAATAAATATTGCCAATTAATTCGTAAAATTGGGAAAAGTATGAGAACATGGTGCAGCAATAACAAGAACATGTCACAGAAGGAACAATAGAAAAGACAAATATATATATTTTTCATTCAACCTTTACAGGCTAACCTCATTGAGTCACGAGGACTCGTTTTCAAGAGACCTGTTCCAATCCAGACAGACAGAACATATAAAGTACAGACAACAATAACAGTGAACAATAATAACGATAAACTACAGTAAAAATGCTGTAAAAATACAGTTAAAATAAAAGTAGTGTCTAAAAAAATAAATCAATGTGCCATAAAAAATGTAAAATACTAAAAACAAGAATATATTTGCTTTGAGATTTCTATTGACATTAAGAAATGTTTAAAACCCCTCACAATAAATTAAGGTGGACAACTTCAGTTCCTGCTGAAAGGTGTTCCAGGTTGCAGGAGCAGACTAACCTGGAATATAACTAAGTGCATCAGTAAGCGTGTGTCACGGTCCTTCGCTGTACATCAGTCTGTGCCGTGGTAGGCAGCAACTTAGGCAGATTACCATAGTATTTTACCTTAATTGCAGATGGAGTTTTCCTTCATTTAATACACAACACATGTGTAATATGTGTAATATGTTTTGTCCTAATGTAGTACTATAAATTTATTGAAAAGTGCTTCGTACAATTACATGACTGTTGATCAATCTGTTTAATGATTATCATATGTCTGGTCTTCTTATTTGCTAAGTTTTTGGTTTATCTTTGTTTTGTTTTTTTACCTAACAGGAATTTGGCATCCTGAGCAAGCACACTGTGTTTGTGACAGATAATGGCTCAAACATGATCGCTGCTTTCAAGGATTATGTGCGACTCTCCTGTGCCGGCCATAATATCAACTTGATCTTAAAACACGTATTTGACCACTTGGATGAGGACAACCCAGTACACAGCAGCGTCATCAAGCTGTTTAAGGACGCAAAGACCCTGGTCACACATTTCAAAAGGGCAGGGTAAGATACATCAAATCTTGTAATCTCTGCCTGGTGAGGCTGCTTAAATAATCATAAAATATGATAAGTGAAATAAATAAAGAAAAATTGAGGTACTGTAATTTATAACTGCAAAGGTCACATTTTCTTGACTTAGTTTCAGTTGTAAAGCTCTTCTTTTTAATAAAATATTTTTTCCAAAAGAAAGGCCAATAAATTGCAATTTTTATAGTCCCTGTAACTCTATTTTGACTTGTGCACGGTCTTCTTTCAATTTTAGGTTACAAAAAGCACTGGACCAGTCACTGAAGCAGGCTGTGGAGACGAGGTGGAACACCAGACTTGCCATGCTCCAGTCAATAAATGATGCTCTCAAGTCTGGTAAGCTGCACGACATCCTGCTTCGCAGAAGCGAGCTCCGTTACCTCAACAACATAGACTGTGACCTTCTTGAGGACGTCATCCAGCTCCTGAAACCTTTTGATGAGGCTACCAGGCACCTCTCCATCGATCAGGCACCTACTCTTCACCTCGTCCTCCCAACCAAGGCAACCCTGCTGCAGGGTTTGTTGATCCAGGATGGAGATAGTGCAATTGTGAAAGAGGTAATATAATACTTTGTTTATTTTTATTGTTTAGTTTGATCATTCAAGTAGCTAACAGGAGTTTGGCCCTATTCAGTAACAGTGATAAAGGCAAGAACAGAACTGAGTCTGATGTTTTCCAAAAGAAACATTGTACAAGTTAAATTTGAAATAAATTTAAAACTCCTCCACGCCTAAAATAAAGCACAGTGCCTGTCCGCCTGAGAATTTTTTATGTCCCGTAATAATGATGTTGCATACATCATTATCATATCATTGCATGTGTCATCATGTGGTTTCACTCCTCCTCTAGCTGAAAGAGAAGTTGGCCCAGGCAGTGGAGTTGAAATTCAAAATCCACCTGTACCATAAGCTAGCCACAGCTCTCTCTCCTAGCCTGAGGAGTTTCTTGAGGAAAACGCTCTCCGGTCAGGAGTATGAGGAGGTCATCAACACCCTGGCAGCACTCACAGAAACAGCAGGGACAGAGGAGAGAGCGAGAAGCCTTGAGAAGAAACAGGGTGAGTAAAACTAGCATCAACAGAGCACTCACAGCAATTCTAAAATGTAATAACAACATTTCTTCCTATCATTTATTTAGAGGCATTCATTCACACACACGTCTGTATAATCTAATAGGTAATGTCCAATATAGGTAATGTTCTATAAGAATCTCTTTTTTTTTTCTCTCCAAAGGTCCACCCCGAGAGGCAGTTCCCAGTCCCACAGAGGTGCACGACTTCTTTTCCTTTTGTGTTGAAAAGCAGCAACAGGAGGGGGACAGTGGTGGTATTTCAGAGTCATGGGGCCGCCAGTTCGTGGTAGAGTACATGAGTGACTCTAAGTTGACAGGCTTCCAGTCTCTGCTCAACTTCTGGCATGAGAGGTCTGATGGGCTAGTGCCAGTTGCCAAGAGGCTGCTAGCAATCCCAGCAACAAGCACTCCTTCTGAGCGTAGTTTCAGTGTTGCTGGGAGACTGATTGAGGAGAGGCGTTCCACCCTCAATCCAGAAAATGTAGATGAACTTTTGTTCCTACATAGCAATTTATAATGACAACTATTCATATGTGCTGAAGAGTGGAAAAGTAGACTGATATGCACGGTGGCTGACAGACACACAGCAAACAGTTAAAACGTGCTGCAAACACAGGAATGAATCAAATTCCAAAACAAAAAAACAAATGCAACAGAAAAAAAAAATCTGCAGTCACAGAAAATAGATGACACACAATCAAAAAAAAAATGCAAAGGAAAAATGCTTCAAATACAAATAACACCAAAACAACTGCTGGTCTGGTCAACAGAACCCTGCAAATACATTACAGCTGAGTGGCAACTGGCCCAAAGTTGGCTTATTTTATGAGTTTAATGTGCACTGAGTAGAGTACTTTTCAGCATTTTCCTTTGCATTCGTTTTTTGGGTTGTATGTTTTATTTTCTGTAATTGCAGGTTTTTTTCTTTCGCTGCATTTTTCTGTTGCATTTGTTTTGTTTTTGTTGTTGTTTTAGAGTTTGCATCATTTATGCGTTTGCAATGCTTTTTAACTGTTAGCTGTGTGTGCAGTAGCTGACTGTTTGCAGCATGTTAGCAGTTTACATTTGTTGGCCACTGTAGTATTACTGTTTGTTTAGCTGTTTGCAGCATGTTAGCAGTTTGCACCTGCTGACCACTGTAGTATTGCTGTGTGTGTAGTTGTTTGCAGCACATTTGCACCAGTCAACCACCATATATATATATGGCAGTTGTATTTTTATTTAGTATTTGCATTATATGCACATTTTTTTTCCTTTTTCAAAAACTCAGGTACAATATGAATGTAATGCCTTTATGCAGTTTTGTTCATTGATGACAGTTTGTTTGGTGCAATTTTTTTGTTTAGTTTTTTATTTAAGCAATTTAAACCATGACAGGAACGTTACTGTCTAAAGGGAAGGAAACAATTGCTCAATAAATTAGTAAAAAGCAACTTCTATTTGTTCTGTTTGGGTTCTTTCATCTAAGGTAGACATGGTGTGACCCATGTACTGGTTTTCATTTTTTGTTTTTACTGTAACTGACCTTCAAAAAAGCCAGAAACAGGGACTCAGCAGCTAATCCTCTGTAGAAAAACTATAAGGACTACAGGCCATGGATTTGTTTTGTGACCTTTAGTCAAGGTTTTTGTTTGAATTAAGGCAATAAATGCCTCCATATTTCACCACAGATTAACTCTTACTGTCATATCTTTTGAAATCAAACTGCAGAACACAAAGTAATTTAAAAAGGAATGGTTAGAAAATCAATTCAAATTCAATGCATTTCTTAAAAATTAAATGAAGAGGAAAAAAAAACAGGAGCAGGACAGGAGTGGGAGTGATTCTGACCAGGAGCAGGACAGGAGCAGGAGTCATGTTACCAGGAGCAGGACAGGACAGGATTAATTTTTTTACTCTGGACCAGGATTGGGACAGGACAGGATTTTTTTCTGTTGGACCAGGACAGGACAGGAGTGAAAATCTACTCCTGTGTCATCCTCTAGTCTAATGCTCACTGCTACACACTGAGGACCTTTTCATTTAAGTTTTTTTTTTTTTCAGAAAAATCAACATGTCTGCTTTCTGTGACACAAACAAGCCTGTACCTGGCTGATGGTGTCTCCAGCAGTAGAAAATGTTCACTCTGAGGGTGTAGATGATGCTTGTTGCATACACAGATACCTGGTTGTAAGTTTGATAGCACTGACATATTGTCCCTCACATTCCACCAGCGGGTCACTGGATTCAATGAGGTAAGGATGATGCAGACATCTGCACCTCTGTGTCTCTGCCTGAATCTTCTCTGTGGTTCTCTGGAGTTTAGGGCTCTGATCATCTCCCTAATTGACATTAGAACAAAACATCAACAATAACATGGTTGTGTTATTATTACTCAAAAAACATCATCTAAGCTGAGAGATGAAAGCTCAACTAGTCATAAAAATCCTTTAAAGTTTAACTTACCTCCACCATGAAGCTCCACTGTCAGCTTCCAAGATGGCGCCCGAGCTGGTGGCTTGCCGCTCACCTCTATCCACTCTTTCTTTTTTTGCTATTTTTATCATTTTTCTTCAATAAGATCAACTCACTACTGGTGTATGATCGCCAGCAACTGCTCAATCTACAATTTTCCACCACTTATCTCGCCTCTTATGAACATTTTGATCGTGGTTCTGGGCCACCACCTCCGCTGTTTGGGAACGTACCTGGGTATCTCCAGCTCGCGGCCTTCGTGCCTGCACGAAAACATCGATCTCGTCGACGTGGGAGACGTGCTGGCCACCTCGTGAGGCTCAAAGCTAGCCTCGCTCGTTCCTCAGCTACAGCTGTCCACCGGACTGAGGTTTCTCCACCTGGATTCCTTGCGGAGTCCTGCCTGCTGCAGAACATCGGGTCGGAGGCGTGCAGCGAGCGCGCGCCCAGCTGCGGTATTTCCAACCATATCCAACAAATCGAATCCAACCCGGGTCCAACAGCTGTACCATCGGATCGTTCCAACGACCCTGCTGTGTCCGGCGGCTCCCGGTTTCCAGCTGTTAGTCCCGGCTGCACTTTCTCCAGCCGGAGGAGGCGAGGACCCGACATAAACAAACTGAAACCGCTGATCTGCCCCCCCCCCC